TAAAAATAAAATGCATATGTTTCAGAACTGTTTAGCCGTATTTACATTGAACTTTATGGGGGAAATTTGCCTCGTGGTACGACCAAATTCGGAGGGCGGAACGGATTAACCATATTTACATTGACCCTTATGGGAAACTTTACCTCGACTTGAGACCAAATCGAGTTGCAACCAAAGTCACGGAACGGATTAAGTTCGTAACTAGAGGCACCACTGTATTAATAATCTGGATCCAGTAAATAAATCCCCTCTTGCTAGATGTTTCCCAATGAAGACCGAACATATAAGTAGTGAACATATGAGTAGTACTTGTCATTCTGAAGCTAAAGATAAAATGCAATCCTTGCATAGTTAATTTTTCACCTAGTACATATCATTTTTCCCTTTTCATTATCTGAATCAAGGAGAGAAATTGATTAGAAGCACAACATTCATCTGACTTTATAATACTAGGCTGTGAAATCTTTGCATTTCTTTTAAAAATAGGTTAAGAAATCACGTTCTGTTAAATTAAAAAGAAAATACAAGATTACCAAAAAAAATTGAGTAAAACTGAGTACTCACCTTATTTATCTTCTCTTTAGGATGTGTCAAAAGATTTGGGAAATGGGAGAGGACATCACAGTTGAGCACAACTTGTGTCTGTTCATCAGTACCCGTTACTATATTGCCAACTGCTCTCAGTGCTGCAGTCTTTATTTTAAGAAATGATGTAATTAACATTCTCAGTGCTTTAGAGGGTCTCTATTTCATTCTTAGGGCTATTCAAATGTTCTACAGGCATACAGGTTGAACACATACTAGACTACAGATATGGTCAAATATACAAGCCCTTCCTTAAACTCACAAAGAACAGTATCTGACTCTATGCCCATGTGAGAACTGCCTCTCTCTTTTAAAAATGTTACTTTCAGGTTTGTTAACAATCACAATTCAATGTCAGATTCAAATCATATGCACATGTCAAACCAATAGAAGAGCAGATTACACAATAATGATGCTATTAAAATGCCTAGTCCTAGACTATTTTTGTTTTACTTTATGGTAATGAAAGATGTACTTAATTTAAAAACATTCTAGGACCACAGGCATCTTATTGAACTATTCAGATAGAAGCTACAAGATCTTGACTTAGTGCAGGCAGACAGAAGTAGTGGTGAAAGACACCTAGCAATACAACTAAAGGAGTAACAAATCCTATAATTAACTAAATAAGTTCAAATTATTTTAGAGTGCTACTGCCAAGAAATAAATATATATGTTTATATTTATATCTTAATCCAATAAATCACAATTCTCAGAAGATTCAGAAATGAATGTTTAGAATAAGGAAGGTATTCTGGTACAAATTCAGAGAAGAAACCAGAAAAGTATTAATCAGGAACTCTGTAATTTGGCTGCAGTATAAATTCAGTCCATTGCACTCATTTTGTCAACCTTAGTGGCAGCCATTTTGAGATAGTGTCTACTATGCTTTCTTTGAAAATCTGTGTGTGTCCATGAACCTAAAGAGTTTGGAGATCCCCCATCTATTTGTTTCAATTGATAAATCTGCTAAACAAACCTGCTCTGTATAGGAATGGACAAAAAAAATTGTAGCTTCCACAGCTTATTACAGGCATGTATGTACAGTGGGGCAAAAAAGTATTTAGTCAGCCACCAATTGTGCAAGTTCTCCCACTTAAAAAGATGAGAGAGCCCTGTAA